CCCCAAAACCCCAAAACCCCAAAACCCCGAGCTAAAAATCAAACTCTAATTTATTGAAATTCACATTTTTATAATTAAAATGAAATAATTAGGACTTTCCTATAAAAAATAGCAAATTCCCCTCAAAGGTTAAGTTTATAATGAATGTCAAAGGCATCGCCATCTGCAACCTTATCTTGATTATCTAAACTTTTTAACCACTCAATACTATCAACAATAAGCTGGTTGTAATCTCCCTCTTAATGAAATAGCATATGAGGCTTTCCTTCATAGGTTGTACATTTATTCATCTTATGATATATCTACTAATAAAGTTCTTCATTTAGTTTGTTAGAGACAACAACGTCATTTCCTGCTAGCGCCATAAACACAGGAATCTTAATTTTTGACCATTCTTGCTTCAGTTTGTCTTACATCATTAGGCATTTACTCAAGGTATTATGCCTGAACACTCCCACATACAGCGGATCATGCTCCTTTATATAGGTAAAGTACTCCTCATACTCTTCAGATCTTTTCATTCGTGTGAATACAGAATCTCTGGAACAACAAGAGATAAAATCTATGTACCATCTCTTGATTGGGTTTATGTGCCATAAATCATGATTGGCAAACCATGGGATAGTAAATATAACGCCATCGAAGAAATCTGGTCTCATCTGAATCATTCTCGCAGCTAGCAGTGAACCCAATGACATTCCTAATATGTACTTTTTGGCATCTTAAAGCTTCTTTGCTTCAATAATCTTATCTACGAATATCAATTAATCATTCACTGGATCAGGGCCAATGTCCCCTCTCTTTCCTTCACTTTTCCCAAAGCCCTATCTATCCATACCAAATAGTCTATAGCCTTGCTTAGCAAATTGCTCAAATATGGCTCCATAAAAATCCATGTAAGAGCCTTGGCCTAGAAATATAAATACTACTCCTCTCATAGTACCTTCATTTGGGTATTCAACTGTATGTAACTAGATTTCTCCTTCATAAGATTCAACAACTAATTTGATTGGATTCTATACCGGAAAATACCTCTTCTTGATTTTCAAATATTTTTGGAGTATGGTCTCTTTGATTGGGATTTATTCCATTTCTAGACAATTTGTGATATTAAGTTTAACTTCTAAAGATATATTAAATGGAAATAGTGAAATCATTTAAATTAATGGAAAATTATATAATTACTAAATGCTCAATTTATATTGAACTATGGGGTTTTGGGGTTTTGGGGTTTTGGGGTTTTGGGG